AACGGGGCCGTATCCGATCGCCCACGACCCCATTAGAGGCACCCTCAGGACCCGGAGCCCAGCCAGGCCAAGGATGGAGCTGCCCTGAGGGATGGAGCCGTCCCCGCTCCACCCAGCGGGGCCAGAGCCAGCGGCTTGGCTGCGGGGCTCTCAGGGCAGCTGCCACCTGCACCAGGAGCCGCACGCCCCGAGGCCACCGCTGTCACCGTGCGCTCACATCACCCGGTGCCACACACGCAGTGGCACAAAGCAGGCTGCAGGTGGGACAAGGGAACAATTCGGAGGATGCCACAGAGCCAGGCGAGCGGTGTGACCACAACCGGGGCTTGCAGCCCCCCCAAAAAAGCCCCTGTGTGCAGTGGGACCGCGGCTCAGCCCGGCACACACAGACGGCCGTCCCTGGCGGGTTGCTCGCCGCTGAGGGCACGCACGCTCTGGCTCCTCGTGGACCTGGCACCAATCTGCCCGCCCGGGCAGCAGGCACAAGCACCAGCCAAGACCGCGGGCAGGGGAGGACCAGGGAAATTGTTTGCTGGCACCACGAGATGTGGAGCTATGCCTGAAAGCACAGAGCGGGTCACATCGAGAGATGGAAGCGGGCGGAGGCGAGGGGACTCGTGCTGTCGGCACAGCCGAGTGCTGCAGCGCAAGACCCCAAAGCCAGGGCAGTGACACGAAGCTGGGGACACGGGACAGCGGGAGGGGGCTCTACAGGAGGAGGCAGGGCTGGTTTTGGCTCCCCAAGGCCACCCAGCTGGAAGCACATCACTCACACAGCACCCACACCTGGCAGCACCCAGCAAATGGTGCCAGGAGCCACCAGGCACAGCAAGGCCTCGAGGGGACACGACCCAGGTCCCATCGTGGTAACATCCCTCCAACAGACCCCAAATGGCCCTTCTGGGATGGGGAGCCTGCCGGTGGATGCCAGGTGCCCGTTGGTCCCTCACACCAACCCCGTGGAGGAACCATGTAAAGCCTTGCACTCATCCATGGATTTCCAGTGAGGAAATGTCAGACCTGGGGGCAAAATCCAGCTGGGCACAGCCCCACATGAACAGCATTTTTTGAGTTCCTTAGGGGAAGAATTTGTTTCATGAACATATTTCCAATAGTTCTGCCTTCACGTCCTTGCTCAGCTACTTTTCCATGGGAAACCTTGAAAGATAAATCCGGATCCATTTATTTCTTACAGCAGGGCGGGTGACGCGAGCGGAGGCAGCGACACGACGGCGCAGCTCCCCCCCTTTCTCCTCACCCTCCCCAAACACAGGGGCTGGGTTCTGCAGGCAGAAGGAAAATCAATCCCCTCCTAAACAACCTCATCACACGGGCGCTGTCCTGTCAGGGCACCGAGAGAGGCACAACGTCATTGTCAGAGCGGGCTGAGAACAGCGGCGGTGTTTTACGAGGCAATAACCCACTCCCGGGGCTGTGAAGAGCCACTTGGTCTCTGACCTCCCGCTGTTCCCCAGCCAGCGAGCCAGGCTGGTGCTGCACAGCGCTGCAACGTGCCCATTAGTGCTTAATTAAACAGCGAGGAGAGCTGTGGGGCTGAGGAATCCCACACCATGAGCCTGGCCAGCAGGGGATCTCCGTGGGCAGGGTCACCGCGGTGAGACCCCCTCCACCTGAACGCGCTCACAGGGGACGCGTCGGACACGAGCCAGGAGTTTCTGCGCTGTGGGTTTTTCACCACCCACGTGCGATGGGAAGATCACCCCTCGCCAGGGGCCCCTGCCTCTCCTCCTGCCCCATCAGCCCTGCCTGCGAGCATCACCGGGCTGAGCGTGGTGGGAGAGGCAGCATCACCCCCCCCACCTCCCAGCCAGGGGCTGTGGGACCGAGATATATTCCAGCTGCACCAGCCCCTGCAGAGCCTGGCAGGGCTACAAAGGCTCCTCCAGCCAAGCCTTCGGGGAACGCCGCTCCCCCGGGGATCGCACGCGGCCGTCTGGGCTCCAGGCCCACGCAGCAGCGGCCATTTGGGTACTTATGCCCATTAGGAGCCACTTAACAGGCACCATACACAGCATGAGATGGCCAAGGAAATGGCTGCAGAAAGCAGCTGCAGGATCCTGGAGCTGCTCTGGGAACCTCGTGGGTCCCTGCACCCCAAGGTGAGCTCAGCCACAGCCCCCCGTGTGCCCCGAGCTGGCCACGCTCCCTCCGTGCCCTTCCTCCTGTGGCCGGGCACTGGTGCAATTAGCAAAGCCAGCTACCGCTCGGCTTTGATGAGAAGACTCAGCCTCTGCTCGGGATGAAACGTGTAATTTGGACGGTAGAAATAGCCTCTACAAAGCACATGTGGTTGCTGTGTCCCGGTGACCTCTTCCATCTTACGCAGGCGGCTCTGCTCCGAGCGTGGTTCCATCTCCGCCGGCTCTCCAAAGGCGCGGGTGCCATCAAACAGATGACACATCTGCAGCAACCAAAGGAGAGGCAGCGCTTGGCCACTGCTAAATAAATCGTATTTTTGGCCGGCGCTGCACCTCAGCGGAGGCCGATGAGTGCTTCTGGCAGGAGGAACGTGAAATGGAGATGAGAAGTCAGGTGTGGAAACCACGGATGCAGAAAGGCTCCGCGAGGCGCCGCGCTCGGCGGAGCAGGGAGCTCCGGTTCGTCAGCGGCAGCGCCGGCTCCTCGGCACAGGTCAGCGGCTCAGACGGGATCTGCAGGGCTGGGAAATCACCGCGGCTCCCACGCCTTTCTTCCAGGACAAACCAAGCTCCTTGGGTCTTCTCGAGGCACTCCAGCAGGCGCAGCAAAATGGCTCAAGGCTGATGGCTCTCGCTGCCAAAGGAGCCCCGCAGAGCGGAGAAGCCTCCTCTCCAAAACCAGCACCTCTGGTAGCCGCTGAGCCCCTCTCCTGGCCTCGCCCGCCGGCCCTCACAGCCTGCTCTGAGCCGGGGGGGGTCCTGTCCCGCCTGGGTTTGTGCCCCCCACCAGGGGTTGGTCTGCAGGGGGCTTCACCCGCCCGGATCGCAGCAGCAGACAAGCCGAGGGGTCAGGGCCAGAAGCTCGGTGCGTGCCCGGGCTCATGCACCCCCAGCCACGAGTCCACCACCGGCACGTAGGAGGTGACGGAGCAACCACCGGCACGCCGCTGGCACGTCCCCAGCTCCTGTCACCGTGCCCACCCCTCAGGCTGCCAAGGACGGGCCGGGTCACAGGCAGCGGGGTTACACAGCCGCGATTCAGCCGCACGGCTCCCATCAAGGCAAGAAGCTCAGCCTGCAGCCCCCCAGGAGGGAAGATGTCAAGCTCCTGGCCGGCCAGCCCCAAACGCTGCCCACCTGGGGGTGGAGAACCAGCCCCCCCCGCTGCAGGGTCCGTGCACGTGGACGAATGACCTATTTCAGCAACCACTGCAGAGCAGGGGGGGCACGAGGCAGATTTGGCAGTGCAGGGCCCTCACCACACACCTGGCCAAGCCTTCAGATGGCAAGCACCGCCCGAGGGATGCTCAGCACCATTAAAACCAGTCCCACCACGGACAGAGGCTGGGAACCACCCCCAAACTTCCTCACCTGGTGCACGAGGAGTCCTTCCTCCACAGGCCGGCCCTGTGCTCTCAGGAAAGCTGCAGGATTTTTTCCTGGAGGTGCTGAGGAACCCCCCCTTAGAGCAAGGGCACTACAAGAGGGACCCCGAGATCCCCCACGGCATGCAAACACCAGCGGGTGGAGACCTGCTCGTGACCAATCCTCCTGCAATCCTCCCGTGTTCTCTGCCCCAGTGGGACCTGGCGTTACCCCAGCGTTGGGGCTGGGGCTGGGCATCCACCAGCCCAGCAGCAGGACCCCCACGGGACCACCACGGACCACCACGGGACCCCAGCAGCAGACCAGCCTCGTGCATCCCATCTCTGCCATCTGCCTGCCCCGCCTTGGCCTCGCTCCGTGGCTTTCCACGAGCCACTGGCACGGCCCCAGCGAGCCCTGGGCCAGCGGGCAGTGGCCACAGGACATTTTGGCAGCCAGGGGCAGCCCCCTAGCCAGGAAGGGGAGCAGGCAGGGGACATCGGCATGGGGGCTGCATGCAGCACACGTGTGCCAGAGCCCTGTGCCACAGCAGGGGCTGTGACACCCCGAGGGCTCCAAGGGAGAAGACACTCGACACGCCAGGGCCCCCACCGAACACCACAGCTCCAAACCCAGCTGGCTCGGGCGAGCAGCCTCGTCATGGCCGCACGCAGCTCGTTGCCATTTCTGCACGCCGGCTCGCCACACCGAGCCGAGCTCTTCACAGCTACAAATCCTCCATGGTACAGCCACCGGGGAGAGAAAGCCGGCGGATGGGGACGCCGCCTCGCCCTGCTGGGGATCAGCCCACGTCCCCCCCGCCAGCAGCGGCCACGACGGGAACGCGAGGGCCGGGCACGCCTGCACCCGGAGCCAGCGCAGCCCCAGCTCCGACCCGAAGCGTTGGCTGCTCGGATGAAAAAAACCTCACGTGATACCACGCCTGGTGACGAGCTCTCGACCATGCAGAGCCTTTCCCAGGCTCGGAGATCAAACACATCAAGCAAGGAAGCCAGGGGGCTGCAAGCAGCTCGCGCACACCCTGCAGCAGCGTCCTAGGGGTGGGGGGCACAAAGCAGCACCAGGGCTGGGGCTCCCCACGCGTGCTGTCCCCAAGGTCAGCCCCTAGGACAGGGCAGCGGTGCTGGGAGGGCAACCTCAGGGCTGATTTAAAACTGGGCTGTGGCCAAAAACACACCGGGGCACCCCAAGGCGGTGGGTGCCCACCTGAAGGCATGGGGCCACCCCACGCTGCGTGGCTTCACTGCTGATGGCCGAGCCACGGGGAGAAGACCCCAGAGCCTGCCAGGAGCCAAATTTCCATTCCTTAACCCCACAAAAGCCAGGACTGAACCCTCCCAGCCCTGCATCCCACCCCCCCAGTGACCACCTCGGGGTGCGAGGAGCAGCGGGGGCGTGAAGGCGAGGAAGGACGGGAGCAAGGTAGGGGGGCAGCGCCGGGGGGGCCGCACTCACCCAACATCTGGCTGAAGAGGAGCTGCTCCAGGTCTCCCAGCACCTGTCACCACCAGCTCGGGGTCCACCTTCAGGTACGGCTTCTCCTCAGCGCCCGCCGCCGCGGGCCCCTTGCCGCCCAGCAGCTCGTCGTCGCACTTGCCACCTCCACCACCCACCACCACCGCTTCCACCACCACCACCGCCTCCACCCGCCTCGGGGGCCTTGCTGAGGGGCTTCACCTCCGCGTAGGGCCCCCGGGGGATGCGGCTGGGCTTGCCGCTGGCCGGCGGCTTGGCGGGGCCGGCGGGGCGCGGCGGCAGCAGCGAGTGCTCGGAGCGGGACAGGCTGCGCGACATGGTGGACGCCTCACGGGCACGGGGACCACCGCCACCACCACCACCACCGCCACCACGGCCACTCGTCGCCACCGTGGCCGCCGCCTTGGCCATGTCGTCGCTCCAGCGCGGCTCGTAGAGCTGCCGCTTCTTCTCGGCGTCGGTGAGGAAGGCCAGGTTGGTGAGGGACTTCTGCTTGCGCAGGTTGGAGCCCGGCAGCCGCCCCTCAGCGCTGCTGGCCTTGAACACCCGCAGCTCCGCTCCCCGCGGCCCCGCCGTTGGCGTCGTCGCCGGCGTTGTCACCGTCGTCGCCGCCGCCTTGGCCCGTTTGGGCATCACGGAGCCAGCGTCGGGCCCCCGGCGGTAGCCTCGCAGCTCCGCTGTCCCCTCGTCGCCCAGCTCCACGTCGGGGAGGCTCTTGAGGTTTGTCCCCAGCATCCCCGCGCTGCCACCATTTAACCCGGCTGCTGCTGCTGCTGCTGCTGCTGCGGCACGGTGGGCGCGGAGAAAGGGAGGAGGAGGAGGAGGAGAAGGAGAAGGGAGGGGAGAGAAAGAGAGAGAGAGATTGAGAAGCGCCCTCAGCTGCCGCCCCAAAACCGGGGCGGGGCTGAACGGGGAAACGGAATGGGGCGGGGGGGGGGGGAAAAACGGGAGAGGAGCCGCCCTACCGCGCCGCTCCGCCGGCGGCGGGGCGCTGCGAACCAAGGGAATGAGCGGGGCCGAACAAAAAGGGCCCGCCCGCAGCCGCCTCCGCCACCGCCTGGGCGCGGGCAGGGGGCGGGGCCGCGCGGGGCGCGCGCCCGCGGAGGGGAGAGGGGAGAGGGGGGGGGGAGCCTCGGGGGCGCGCAAGGGGGTTGAGGGGGGGGAGGGGGTGTGGGGGGGGCACCCATGGGTGCTGTATGGGGTGGGGGGGGGGTGGAATCCGCCCTCAGGAGCCGCCCGCGCGCCCCCGCGGCTCCTCGCCTCGTCGGGAGCGCGCACGGGGAAGGGGGGGGGGGGGGCGAGGGTGAGGCCCTAAAGGAGCCGAATTTCCCCGTTCCCAGCCCAAAACGGGCGCTGCGAGGGCCTGGGGTGGTTCCCAGAGGCAGCGCGGCACCGCCAAGGGGGGCTGGGGGAGGGCTGGGGGGTCCAAGGGGGGGTGAGGGGCAGGGGGAGCGGGGGCTGCGGAGCCTCATTTGGCATTAATTACCCGTCCCCAGGGAGGGGGGAACGAGGCCTGCGCCGTGACCTCAGGCGGTGCCATGGTAACGGCACACAGCGCCTTGGGGCGCGGGCAGGGAACGGGTGGCGAGGCCTGGGGGGGGGGAGCCCCCAACACGGGCACCCCCGGCACCCCCAAAGGGGTTGGGGTTCGGTGTCAGGGGGTCCCGGGATCGCCTGAACGAGTGGGGATGAAGAAATGCCAGAATGGGTGGTTTGTGCCCCAAAATAACGCTGCTGGGATGGGGTGGGTCGTCCCCAAAGCTGCAGGGAGGTTTTGGGGTGGTAAGGCCTCTGCCGAGCCCCAGCTGTAGGGCCTGTGGGGGGGGTAAATTGGGGGAGTTTGGGTGGGTTTTGAGGGTGGGTGAGTCGGCGGCCACCCCCCGCCCTGCTGCTGGAGCCGCTGGGGCCCCAAAAGGCAGCGGGGACACGCAGGGGATGGGCTGGGGGCACGGAGCCCCCCCTGCAAAACCGTGCCTGGAGCGGGCGCCACGGCGCTGACCGACTTCTGTCGGCTCGGATCAGCCAAAGCGGCTCCCGAGGTGCCTGGCCCCCTCCCCACACATCCCCCGAGCATCCCCAACCCATCCCCATCCCATCCCCAACCCCATCCCCGTCCCCATCCCCATCCCATCCCTTCGAGCAGCCCCGCCGCATGGCCACCTCCCAAAAACCCACCCCAAAAGCACCGGGGGAGCTGGGGGGGTGGGGACCTCGTATCTGGGCTCAGCCACCCCCACCCCAAAAAAATAAAAAAAATAAATAAAAATAAAGGGGCTCATGTCCTGCTCGCCCCAAAAGCCAAAAAAAAGCCAAAGCGCAGCCGGTGCCCGGTGCCAAACGCTTCATTGACAAACGCCGTGGTGAGCACGGAGCCGACCACGCGGCACGGAGGGTGTGGGTTTGTCCCCAAATCCGCTCACGGGGGTGTCACCGGCAGCTGGGGACGCTCCGGGTGTTAAATCCCTGCCCGGCAGCCCCGCGGTGCCGGTGGGAGGTTGGCGGCGCCGGGAGCCACCGGTGCCAGGGCCCCCCCCACCCCCCTCCCGTCCTCCCCGGCTGCGCTCTGGCTCTCGGCCGCCTCCTCGGAAATGGGGTCATTCCTGGAGCTGGGTGGAAAACTAGAAAGAGGAGAGCGAGCCAAGAGGCAGCAGGGCCTCGGGAGGGGACGGCCACACCGAAAAACGGGGGAGGTGGGCGGCGGGGACGAGCCTGGGGGCACCCGGCTGCTTGGTGGCACGGGGAAGCGGGGGGAGAGCCCCTGCCCCACGGCAGCCCCACAGGGATGGACGCGGCTCCAGCAGCTGGGGGGGACTGGGGAAGGGTCCCCCCCATCCCCTGCTCCTCTCCTCGCCTTGTGATTTTTGCCCCTCTCCTTGCTGCCACGAAGCCACCGGGCACCCCGTGCCCACCCCGTGCCCACCCCGTGCCCACCAGCCTGGCCCCGCAGCCCCAGCCCCTGGCCCCCGCACGGTTCCCTCCTCCCCCCATCCTTCTCCCTCTCCCCCCTCGCTCTCTCCGTGCGGCGGTTTTTGGGATGCTCCTGTGCTCGGCACAGCCCTGGCCCCACGTCTGCACGTGCAGCTCATCCGGCCCCGCTCCCAGCCGCCGCCAGCTGCTCCCGGAGGCCCCGCACAAGGCATTAATAACGCAGACGATGGCCCCCGTGTGTCCCCCCCGTCCCCCTCCCAGCCTCCCTGCGCCCCTTCCCCAGCAGCCCCCCCAGCCCCCGCACAAGCAGAAGGGGAGCGGGGGGCACCCAGCATCGCCCCCCACAAGTCCCAGGCCAGCCCCCGGGCAGGGGGCACACAGGACCTCCCCCCACACACACCCCCCAAGGAAACCCCCCCATGGACTCACTCAAGGCTCCGGGTTTGGGGTCGGTGTCACACGGGGACGTGGCCTGCTCCTCCCTGTCCCCCTGCAGCCTGGGGACAGAGCGGGGTTAGGGGACAGCCTGGGGCTCTCCGGGGACCCTGGGGACACCGGTCCCATGGTGGCGGGGGTCCCCAGGGTGTCACATCCCCTTCGGTTTTACCAAGCCCACCCCACGCCATCCCTCAGGCTCCCATGGGTGCACCCCAACCCAGGGGGAAGCCCCCAGCGCCCACTCACCCAGCCCCAACCCCACAATCCCGGTGAGGTTTCCCCGCATGCCCCCCCCCCATCCCCGTGCCCTCATCCCCGGGCACTCACCGGTACTGGAAGGGTGCCACGGTGGCCTGTCACAGGCCGGCTGTGTGGGGGGGCCGAGGAGAAACTGATGGCCCCCGACCCAAAAACAGGGCACCCTGCTCTGCGAGCCGGCGGGGGGGGCATCCTCCATCTCAGGGGTCCCCCCTGGCCCCCGCACGGAGCAGCTCAAGGGACGGCGACCCCCAGGGTCCCCGCAGGCTGCCCGCCACCCCCTTGCCCACCTCCAGCCCCTTCCCGGGGGGCACCGGGGGTCTCTGCCCCCCACGGGGGGAGATGCCAGGGCTGGGCTCCCCGGCTGGCTCGTGGCCGGTGGCGGCTCTGGGTTTAGGTTTAAGGCTTTTGGGGCCAGAGGCCAGCCGCGGGGACGAGGCTTGGTGGGAGGCGGGGGGCCCCGGGCTGCTGTGTCGGGCCGGGGGGGCCAGCAGCGGGCAGCTTGCTGGGGGCACGGAGCGTGGCACCGGGATGGCGGAGCCATAGTGGCCGCGGCCACCCGGGGTGAGGTTGGCCGTCCCGTTCATCCCGGCGAGGAGGCTCCGGCGAGGCGCTGCGGAGGGAGAGGAGAAGGAACGGGGTGAGGCACGGCGTGGGTGATGTCTCCTCCCCATGTGTCCCCCCCCCCAGGGACACCTGTCCCTGTGTTCCCAGTTGGGGCCCTGCAGTGAGGCCGCACGGGCGCAGGCCCCGCAGGGAGGGGTCCCCCTCTTGGCCACCCAAAAAAACATCTCCTGAGCCCCCAAACCACTGGAGGCCACCTCCCGGACATCCACGGTGACCTCCCAGCCACCCAGGACCACCCTGCAGCCACCCGAGACCATCTCCTGGACACCTGAGGCCACCTCTTCACCATCTAAGGCCCTCTCCGGCCACCCAAAACCACCTCATGGGCACCCAGGACCACCTCGTGGGCACCCAAGGCTACCTTCCAGCTGGCACAGGGGCCAGCTCCGCCACCCCAATCCCCTGGCCATGGACCTGGCCGCATGGCACCACGAGGGACCCCCACACACGTGCCCACAGGAACCATCCCACAGCTGCTCCGGGCGGTGTCCAAGCCCCGTTCCTGCCCTCCCCATCCCCAACACCCCCACGGGTCCTGGGCACCCCTCTGCGCTGCAGCTCACCAGGGAAAAATTAGCAAATAAATCAATAAATAATACAACATCTATTATTTTTTTTTTTTTGCAGGGATGGAGAGATTGGGAACATCTCTGGAAAGGCGGGGAGATGCCGGGGAGGGCACCCGGGTGCTGCTTGCCCCCCGCCAGGGCTGCGTTTTGGGCCGGGGCAGCCCAAACAAGGGGGGCTTTGTGCGGGCGCCGCGCTGGGCGCTGGGTGCGAGCCGCCGGGGCCGCTCTCCGTGCACACACACACACACAGGGCGCTCTGTTCCAGCCCGGCCCGCAGCCTGGCTGCCTTTCAAGGCTGAGCTGGGCTTTCCCCGGAGCGTGAGGACTGCCTGCAGACATTTTGGCAGTCGCGCCGTCTCCGACACGGCCCGGGATCTGCCCGCGAGGTCCAGCCCCGGCCCTGCCGATGGCATCGCTGCGGCTCGGGGCCGGCCGTGCCCTGCTCCCAGCACCCAGCACCCAGCACCCAGCCTTTTCCAAAATGCCTTTTGTAGTGCTGGTGGGGTCGATCTTCCCTCCCCGGGGCTGGATCCAGCAGCTCTCCACCCTGGGTGGCACAAGGCAGCCCTACAAGGAGTGGCAGAGCCACCGGCCCCATTCAATTTTTTGGCAATTTTCTCCCAACTTTGCCAATTTTCCCCCAACCACTAGAGCCGGTCCCAGCACCGTAATTTCCCTGAGCTCCTCTTTATCCGAGTCAGAGGCCAAAAGTTCCCCTGGATTTGTGCTGGTCCTATCATCACCGACACCCCTGTGCATCAGCAGCACGCAGCTCCGCTCCGGAGCCTGGCACGCTCCTCTCAGGGCATTCAGCACCGGAGCTGTGACCATTTTTTATGGATTTTTTTATGGATTTTTTTGATCTGTTTGCTCCACCTGGATTCCCCTCACATGGACACAGCTTCCACCTCTGTCCTCAGAGCCTGCTGGGGTGGCAGCACGAAGCCATTTCTGCAGCCGAAGCCAAAGCTGCCGCGTTTGCCACAAAAAATCAATCCTCCTCTTGTTCTCCCAGGCTCCGAGGTTTTATAGGGGCAGGCAGTGACCCTATAAAAGGGTCAGGAGGGTTTTGGAGCTGTCCCCTCCCATCGCCCAGGCCTTGGGGTGGGGAGGGCACCGATCATTTGGCCCGGCTAACCACGGGGACCCCTTCCAGGCGTCACCCTGATCCGGAGCTCCCCTGGGGATGGGGAGGGCTGGATGTGGCCCCTCTGCCCCAGGTGACTCCGGCTGCCAGCCGGACCCCTGGCTGGGGACAGGGATGTTCTAACCCACAGAACTGCCGTGGGACAACCCAAAGCAGCCAGCACCCAGCCAGCCTCGGGAGGAGCCTCCTGCTGGAAGCAGCCTGCCGCAACCTCCCATCATTTTCTTAGGAAGCACAAATTAAAGTCACCCCTAGGAGATCCAGCACTTTTTTTTACTCCAAGCAAATTCCCAGCTTCCCTCTGGCAGTTTCCAGCCACCCAGGCAGGGCCTTTTGGGGACGCTGAGCCCCCTGTCCCATGGGGCCGGTCCCCTCCGTGCGCCCCTGCTCCTGCCGCGGCCACGCAGCCCGGCTAAGCAGGTCACAGCCTGACCTAGATCGAGGCATCTCCCCACCACGGCAGCTCCTTTGCAATTAGCTGAGAAGGGAAAGGACTTTCTCCTAACGACAAGGAGCCAGCGGCACTGCGGGCTCAGCCCCGCATTGGGGTTTGTGTCCCCCAGGCAGGGATGGAGATCCTGAAATCTCAGGCGGGTCGGGATGCGCTCCCCGGGGGAGGATGCTTCTGGCAGCTACCGCAGGGCCAGAGCTCAGCGCAGGGGTGCTGGGCTGCTGCCCACTGCCTCCGGCACTCAGCTCCAGGTTTCCCATAATTAGAGACCAGGGACAAAGTGGTGGGTGAGCCTTTCGGACGAGGCATCCCATGGAGAAAGGAGGAAAAAAGAAACTGGCCGAGCTGTGCCCTTCATCCCAGGACAAACGGGAAGCAGCACATCCCTGAAGGCACCTCGCTCAAAGAGGCATCTGTTGTGCTCGGGGCTCGAGCTGCTCGCTTGGAGCAGAGTCAAAGCACACCTCACACCTGCGGTTCGGGCAGGCAGCAGTGAGCACACGGGCCCGGAGGCTCAGCCCCGTTTCCCGTCCCTTGCTTCGGACACATTGTGGGGCACGCGGGTGTCTCAGCCCCCTCGCAGCTGTGCCGGGGTGAAAACCTTCCCCGTGCCCGGGAGGGCTGTGGCACGGCCACTCGGTGATGCAAAGAGGCGTTAAACCATGAAAACCCTTCAGCCTCTGCTGGGCTCTCACCGCCACTCCGTGCCTCGGTTTCCCCACCCTGACACAGCTCCAGAGTGAACCCCACAGTGAATCCTACAGTGTGGGTGCAATCGGGACCAGCCCCGTGCGGACCCTCCTGGCACAGCGCTCCTGCCCCTCGAAGCTGCTCCCCGCAGCCCCACGCAGGATCTGGCCCCGAGCTGCCTGCGGGGATGGCGCGGCTCCAACGCAGCCTCCTCCCCGGCACGCTCAGGAAGGATGACAAAGAAAAGGCTCCTTGTGACACGAGGGACATAAAACTTTCCTAAGAGAAACAGAGGGGAGCAGGGAGAGAAAGGAGCCTTCAGAGGGGAACAAGCTGCCGATTCAGCCCCCGCTCTGCGGCCGGGACCTGGCCTGCCCCCGGCCGGGTGTCACCGCGTGGGACATCGCCACCACGCTGCCTGCTCGCTGCCGGGGGTCTCGAAGCACCGAGGGGCTGTACCCAGGGCTTGGTGCCACGGGGAGGGGGCTTCTGGCTCAAAAACACCGCAGGGACCAGAGCAGAGCCCCAGCAAGGCAGAGCTGGGGGTGGTCGGGGGTCAGCACAGCACAACCCGAGCCCCTCCTGGAGCCAGGATCTTGTGTGCAGCAGCAGCTCAGCGGGCAGCTTGTGGGGTTCGGGCATGGGCACGGGGAGCAGGACGGTGGGAGGGTGCCCAGGGTGGCCCCAGCTCTGCCCGTCCTGGCCTCGTCTCCACCCCATGATGCGGGGGGCTTGGGGCCGAGCCGGGGGAGCTGCAGGAGGGGCACGAAACCGGCTGGTGTGAGAGCAGAGCCGCAGCTCTAAGCTGTCCTTTAGCCACGCCGCCGACAATCCCATTAGGCACTTAACCCACTTCAATAAAACCTCGCTGCCAGCCAAGTTCAGCCCTGCACAGACCGCAGCCACCGACACCGAGCCCTGCCCAGGCTGGGCACAAATCCCACGGGGGGGCCGAGCCCTGCCAGGCACCCCCATACCAGAGCCCCCCCCCCCCCATTTATGGCCTCTGGATACCGGAGGCTGTTGGGGTCTCTGGGGATGCGTCCCCCCGGCTGCTCCAGCCCCTCGCAGGCCTTGAATTGGTGCCTTTAACCCCAAAACTGCGCCCCGCGGGTGTGACGCCCCCGGGCGCATGCGGGTGGTGGGGGGCGCAGATGTCCCTGTGCAGCCCCCGAGGGGACAGGGGGTGTAGGGGGGGGGGACACACAAGGGTAGGGAGGGGACAGGGGGCTGCGGGAGCGCGGAGCCGGGCGCGCCGTGCCCCCGCTGCGCGTCCCCGCGGCCGTTCAGGAGGCGCCGGCGCTGGACAGCTCCGGGCCGGCCCCGCGGCGCCGCCCCCCCCCCAAAAAAAAAATAAAAAATGGGGCTTCCAATTCTGCCCACCCCCCAAAAAATAAACCTAGGGGTCTCCCCCTGAGAACCTCCCTCCCCATGGCCACCAGTGCCGGGGCTGCCGCTTCGCCAACCTGCGAGAGGCCAGGAGCTGCCCGCAGCCCCGCTGCCTCTCTCCAGCAGGTGCTTCAGCAGCCAGCACCTCACTCCCCCTAAAAAAAAGGTCTCCCTCGTGGTGTCTGAGGACCCCAAGCCATGTCCCGGAGCCGTCGTGCAGCCGAGGCACAGGCGATGCTCTTGGGGAGGGCCGAAAGCGAGCAGCTGGGGAGGGGAGCGCATCCCACCCAGCCCGGCTGGGGCCATCGCAGCGTTTGGCCCCAGCCCCGGGACCTGACGGGCTGCAGACCTGGCCCGGTCTCCTCGCCAGGAAGCTCCTTGCTTGCTTTTTTTTTTTGAGCAAGAGCAGATGTCGCAGCGCCTGCCTGCGTGTCCTCGCCGGGTCCAGCAAGGCTGGGAGGAAACGGCCCCTCCGGCGCTCAACCCCGAAGCCTGGAGGCCCCCGGTGCTTTTTGGCTTTGGGGACGTGGCCTCGGGAAGCCGCAGCTGTGTGGAGAGCTGCTAAAGGCATCAACTCGGCCGTGCTTGGTCGTGTGGTGTCCCACGTGCGGTGGGACAGCTGCGCTCACCTCCCTGCCCCGGCACGGGCTGCGCGTCCCCGGCGCTGGGCTCAGCTCCCCAGGCACCCTGGAGGCTGCGCTGGGCTAAGCCAAAGGTTGTTCATCCCTCCTTGGAGGCCAAGGATTTCAGAAGCCCTACGGGGTGGGCGAGCTGCGTAATGCTGGGGAAGCAGCAGCGCAGGGGTCGGGGTGCCAGGTCCCAGGGGGCAGCCTTAATCCATCAGGAGACAGCCGGAGCTGGGCCGCCACCGCTGCGCTCCCCACAAAGCCCCCGCGGCTGAAAGCTGCCGTCTGCACCGCTCCGGGTGCTGAACAGAGCAAGGGGAAGCTGTGCTGGGGCTCCGAGTGGCCACCCGTGAGCCCCCTGCTCCCCCCCGAGCCCCTGGGTGTGCAGCGAGGCTGCGCCCCCCCCGCATCCCCAAGCACCGGAGCGCAGGACCCCCTGGGAACCATCCCCACCGTGCACAACACCTATAGGGCTGGTGGTACCCAGGCACGTGGGATGGGATCTCCCACAACGCCCCCCACCATAAATGCACAGCTCTTGCAGCAGGGACTTGCCCTGACCCCCCTTTTCTCCCCCCCGTGTACCCCCACTCGCGTTGCTCAGCCCCCACAGCCCGGCAGCCCTCACCCTGCCTGGGACGGGCTCCCCGGGACAAGCGGGCATCTGCAATGGAAAGCAAAAGCCCCGGGGAGCCCTTAATGGGATGAGTGGATTTTCCAGCGAGCTGCAAATCCGCAGGGGCCGCGAGGGCCACGCAAACACCTCGTTAGCCAGGAATTAACCTGGGGTTCACTGTGTTTGCTGCTCGGAGCGCAAGCAGCCGGGCTGCCCCCCCAGCTTCAAACCAATCCCCATGGTTCACAGAGTGACTGTGGGTTGGTTGCTCGTGGAGGAAGCTCAGCTGTCCTGGAGGAGAGCCTGAGCATCCCCTGAGCAAACCCTGAGCAAACCCTGAGCATCCCCTGAGCAAACCCTGAGCACCCCGCCTGCCCGCAGCGAGGAGAGCCGTGCTCCAGCTTCCCCTGCCCCCCTCGTGGCATAGATGCCTCCCCTGGAAAGAGCCCAGAGAGGGAGAGGGGAGAGAAAAACCAGGAAAACCCTGTCGGGGGATGGAGGAAGGGGTGGAGGAGAAGCCGTGAGTCAATGCCCAGCCCCACACCGAGGGAGTTTCCGCTGCCCTGCTGCCGGAGGTGACGCGGCCCGGCCGCATCCGCACCGTGGGGCCGTGTCCGGTGACAGCTGAGGATGAGGATGGGGACGACCACCCCTGTGCCCCCACCCTGACAGCCCAACACGTTGCTGAGGGTGGCCATGCTGGGTGCCCAGAGCCCCCAAAACCCGGCCCCTGAGGCTCCCACGAGGCCACCACCACGGGGGTGTCCCCGCCTGGGTGGCCGCAGCAGGATGTGGCTTTGGTGGCAGCGTGGGAAAGCTCTGCCCAGCACAAACCAGTGCCCACCACCAGGGGAACATCAGGGAATTGGGGAAATCACGGAATGGTTGGGTCGGAAGGGACCTTAAAGCCCAGCTGGTTCCAGCCCCCTGCCATGGGCCCCACAGCTGCCAGCTCATGTCCAGCATTTCTGCCACCAACGTCCCCAAACCCTTCTCTGCAGGGCCACCCCCAGCCCGTGTGGGCATTGCCCTGCCCCTGGGGGTGCCCACACCCGGCTCCCACCCCAAACCTGCCCCCTGCAGCACAGCGCGGACGGGCAGAGCCAGATTCCCATATCCCAGAGGGAAGAGGATGCCAGGACAGCAGTGCCACCACCCCGGGGGGCTCCTGTCCCCACCTGCCCCCTCCTCACGCAATGCCTGGGGGTGCCCCTGGTGCCTTCAAGGCAGCATCCAGGGTCCTGGATCCGTCCCCTCCACGGCCAAACCCCACTTGGGGTAAATCACAGAGGGTGAAAGCCCCCCTGGGTGCCCAGCATCCCCCCCGTGGGGTTGCACCAAGGCTGTGAACCCAGGCGCTCATTCAGCTGTGCCCAAATTTTCGTGCACCTGAAGCTCTCGCTCAGGCAAAGCTCGTCAGGGGCCTCTTGCTAACGAGCAGGGCTCAGGACCCTCCCTCAACCCCAGGGAGCGGTCGGGGGGGGCACTGGGGTTGGTTTGTGCCCCCCCGGGAGCACTCAAGGAGGACCCTGTGGGCTTTACCAAGCTCGCCACCAACCCGGCCCCCACAGCAGCTCCTGGCCCCCCCAGGAATCATTTCTGAACCCCAAGAGCCCGGGGACCAACGCTGCTCCCCCTGTGCCCTGGGTGGGAGGCAGGGGGGGAACGGGGACACCTGGCCCCCAGCCCGCTCAGCCCCTGCGAGGCCCGGAAACACCTTTATCCTGTCCGTGGGCAGGAAAAGCTCCCAGCTCGGATATTTTTATACCCCGCTGCCCCCCGGGGACGGCCCCACCTCCCTGGCTGCGCCCCCAGCCCCGCTCCAGGCCCCGCCACCCCCCAGCCTCATCCTCGCCCCCATTCCCTTCCCTGTCCCCGTTCCTGGCCCAGTTCCCATTTTGGTGGCTCCCCCCACGCCGGGGCTCACCTGGAAGCCCCCAGAGCAGAGGACGAGGCCCGGATCCCACTCCGGGACCCCAACCAAGTTGGGGGAAGGACCCAGCCCCCAGCCTGCCCCCCCCACACCCCGCACCATGGGGCCGTGTGGGATGGGGAGCGATGCCCGGGGGGGAAACTGAGGCAGGAGCAGGGCTGGGGGCGGCGAGCCCAGGAGCTGCACCGAGCCCCCGTGCCTCAGTTTCCCCCCCCCGGCTTCCTGCAGCTCCCCCAGGAGACCCCGAGCCGGGGACAGGCGACAACGGGCGGGGGGCACCGGGACACGGGAGGGGGGGACCCCGCACCCCCGGCACCACCCGGGCCGGGTGGAAGGAACGGGACCCCCGGGGGGACCCTGCCCCTGACGGCCCGCGTGTCCCTTGGGTGTCCCCCCGGGGTGTCCCCCCCGGCCCCCCCCAGCACTCACCGCCGCCGCCCGGCCCCGCTCCGCTCCCGGCGCCTCCCCCGCGGCAGCGGCGCGGACTCGAAGCCAGCGCCGGGAGCGGGGAGCGGCAGGGAGGAGCCGCGCAGGGACGGCCCCCCCCGGCCCCTCCGGTCCTCCCCCGGCCCCCCCGGGCCCGCAGCAGAACGGCCCCGAGCACTGGGGGGGTTGGGGGGCAGCACCACGGCGCCCCCGGAGCCCCCACCCCAGGGGTTCCCCCCCCCGGGACCCCTCTCTCCACCCGGGACCCCTCTCCATGCGCCCCCCCAACGGGTCCCCCCCTCACTCTCCATTCCCCGGACCACTCCCCCGATCCCCCCATGCCCTCCCCCCCCCCCCACGGGACCCATACCCCAAGGGTCTCCCACACTTATCCCCCCCCCCACATGTGTCCCCCCTCCCCCCCAAGCCAGAGCCCACAGCCCCTGGACCCCCCAAACCTTCCCCCCCCCCCCCCCACAAATCCTGCAACCTCAAAACCTTCCACGGAGCCCACTCCCCCCCCATAAATCCCCCCCTGGCTCCCGCCCCCCCCCGGAGCTCCCCCCCCCCGGAGCTCCCCGCCCCCTTCCCCGCCCCTCCCCGTTCCCTCCCCCCCCCCTGCCCGCAGTAGCCATGGCGGCGGAGCCGGCTCGGGACACGGCCACGGCCACGGGGGGGGCAGCGGCCGCCCCCTTCTCGCTGCTGCACCTGCACCTGGAGCTGGGGGTCGCTTTCGGCTCGGGGGGGGGCGCGGGGCGGTTGCGGGGGGCTGCGCGCTTGGAGCTGCGCTGCGTGCGCCCTGGGGGCCGCGCCCTGGTGCTGGACTCGCACCCCACGCTGGAGGTGCGGGGGGCGACCCTGCTGCCCCCCCCGTGCCCCCCCGGGGCCGAGAGCGATGCCGATGCCGGGGGGGGGCAGGAGCTGCCCTTCGAGACCCTCCCGTTCGCCAGTTACGGCTCGGCGCTGCGCATCGCCCTGCCCCGCGAGCCGCGGCCCGGGGACCTGCCTGGCGCTGCGCATCGACTACGAGGCGGGCGAGGGACCCGGGGTGAGAGGGGGGCGAGGGGCTGGGGAAAGGCCACGGGGGGGGTGAGGGGCCGGGGAGGGTCCGCAGAAGGGGTTTTGGGGTTTAGGGTTGGGTCCCACGCTGTCCCGAAGGTGTCTGGCGTGGGGTGAGTTGGGGAGCGAGGTGGGTGCCCATGGTGAGCGGACCCCGCCGCCCCCCTCACCGCCTCGCTGTTCCCCCCCCCCTGTGCTGCAGATGTCGTGGCTGGCCTCCTCCCAAACTGCCCAGAAGGAGAAGCCTTTCCTCTATACCTCTGGCTTCCCTGTGCTCAACAGGTCCTTCTTCCCCGGCTTCCACACCCCGGGCACGAAGAGCACCTACTCGGCACGGGTCCAGGTAAAGCCCCGCCGCTCACAGCGCTGTCTCTTGTCTCTCGCCAGGTGTGCTGGCTCACCCCCGAGCAGACCGCGGGGAAGCAGAAGCCCTTTATGTACACTCAAGGCCAGGCCGTCCTGAATAGATCCTTTTTCCCTGGCTTTGACACTCCAGCAGTTAAATGCACATACTCAGCCACGGTGCAGGTAAGCGGCTCCCTGGGAGGGGCGCGGGGCACAAACCCCAACGCCTTCCCGAAGCTCTCCCAGAGCAAAGCCCTCGCCGTGCTCCCACCTGGAGGTGCTCGAGGGGCAGGATGCCCCAGACATGTGGAAGCATTTGGGTGCTGCAGGAGTGCTGCCCACAGCCTGTGCAGCCACGGGTTCGAGACAATTTGGAGCATTACACCCCAAATTCCCACTGCAGGCCCCCAGCAGAGAAGGCAGTGACAAATATTTAGCTTCTACTTTGTTTTCCTCTACGAGTACACCCGGCCTGAGTCGCTCCTCTCCCCCTTCCCCAGCCACCGCTGCGGCCTCTGGTTCGTGCATGGCAGCGGGTGCGTGCCGGGCGGTGTGCCGACAGCTTTTGCCTCCGAGCAGGAGGCTGCCAAAATGCTCCACGCTTGATGCTGAGGTGCCAGGGAGCAGCTGGGATTAGCTGGGTGCTTGAACCTCTCAGGTCTCCTCGTGGGGATGCAGCTGCCTGAATAATTCCTCTGAATCCTTACCGTGGAGCACCCAGCTCGGTCCCCTAGCAGGCAGCGGGTGCCTTCCCCTTTTTGTTTAACCCCAAACCAAGTCGCTCTCACCCAGCTTTGTCCCCTCTCCTGGGGGCGCGCAGCCAACAGCGGTGCTGCTGGGGGTGAAGGATGCTGCTGGGGGCTGTGACGCTGATGGCACACTGAGGCCGTGGCATCGGCTGGGGATGCAGGACTTTATTTTTCTCCCTCTTGCTCTAAATTCTTCCCTGAAAGTTGGAGCAAAGCTTCCTCCTGAAGTGTGAGCACGGGGCTCGTGTGTTGGAAAACCCCGGTGCAGGGATTGGTGCTGCAGGAACCGTGCTCTCCCCAGCCCCACCGGCCTCACCTCCTGCCTGTCCTGGGAGCCACTGCAGAGCTCACTGGGGCCTGACGAACCGGGATAACGAGCTGTTGTGCAAGGACGGGGAGGAGAGCTGCTTTCTGCAGGGCACGCGCTGCTTCCTGCCTCCCTGTCCTGCTCCCTGCTGCGCCCTGTGGCACCGGGGCTCACCGTGTGCCTCTCTTGCTGTGCTCAGCTGCTTTGTCCCCAATGCTGTGGTTGGGGCTTGGCTCTGGGGATGCATCGTGGAGTCCCCAGCTGGGCTGGCAGACACCCTGCTTTGTGCAGCACAGATCTGATGGGCGTTTTGTCCACGTTTCCAGGTCCCTGAGGGCTTCACGGCGGTGATGAGCGCCACGACCTGGGAGAAGCAGAAGGACAACACCTTCGTCTTCAAGATGGACCATCCCATCCCCTCCTACCTGATCGCCCTGGCTGTCGGGGACATTGTGTCTGCTGAAGTTGGCCCAAGGTAAGTGCCTGCAGGAGCAACCTGCAGCACATAACCCCGCCAAGCAAAGGTCCCACGTCTCTTCCCCAGGCTGCTCGTTGGAGCTTGCAGCTGCTCCAGCACCCGTGTAAAAGCCCTTTGGCATTCAGACTAGGAAAGAGATTGCAACAGTTGGACTCTCGTTAGCTTCATTTATCACCAGGCTTTTATGCTGTCGCAGAATAAACACGTGCGGGTGTTGCCTGATGAAGCAATGGGGTGAAAGTCCCCTCCTGGTTATCGCTGCCTCTTGTTGGTGCTGGCCAAGCACGCGCCAACAGGTCTCCACCTGCCCCATGATTGTCCTGCAGGGTCCCCCGGCGCTGCCTCCTCCTGCTGCAGACACAACGCACTGCTCGGGGCAGGGTGGGGGGATCTCTGTGGGGGCACTTGCTCGGCTCTGGAGGAGCCCCCGACTCAGAGGGGTCGCTCAGTGGGGCCGAATGTCCCCCCGAATCCCTGCTCCTCGGCATCTGGAGGGACCCCCTTCCCTTTTATCGCTCTGTTGGGCTCTGCAGGAGCCGTGTCTGGGCCGAGCCCTGCCTGATCGAGGCTGCTAAGAAGGAGTACGATGGGGTGATCGAGGAGTTCCTGGCCGTGGGCGAGAAGCTCTTTGGACCCTATGTTTGGGGCAGGTATGAGGGGCTCTGTTCCCTGGGGCTGGGGACGGAGCATCCCCCAGCCCTGGGCCACAGCTACAGGCAGAGGAGGCTCCGAACCGAGCCGCCAGCACTTCCCTGCCAGGTACGACGTCCTGTTCATGCCGCCCTCGTTCCCCTTCGGCGGGATGGAGAACCCCTGCATCACCTTCGTGACGCCCTGCCTGCTGGCCGGGGACCGCTCCCTGGTGGACGTCATCATCCACGAGATCTCCCACAGCTGGTTCGGGAACCTGGTCACCAACGCCACCTGGGGCGAGTTCTGGCTGAACGAGGGCTTCACCATGTACGCGCAGAGGCGCATTTCCACCGAGGTCTACGGTGCGTGGCCGTGCCCGGGGGGTCTGCGGGGTTTTGGGGTCCGTGCCATCTGCTGGCCCGGCAGCTGCTCCCCCAGCCAGCAGGGCTCACGCCGCTTGCCCCTGGTAGCAGCACCCGTCACGCTCTCACCGCGTGCGGGTCGGGGTCTCCAAACGCCTCCGCTTGTCCCCGCCAGGTTCAGCGTACACCTGCCTGGAGGCCGCCACGGGCAGGGCCCTGCTGCGCCAGCACATGGACAACACCGGGGAGGACCATCCGCTCAACAAGCTGCGGGTGGTGATCGAGCCAGGTCCGTGGCAGCCCCCGCGGGCGGTGCTGGTGGTGCCCGAGGCTGCGCAGGGCTCTGCTCCCTGCGGAAAGGGTGAATCCGCTCGTTCTGCAGAGCAGCAGATGGGTTGTGAGAGGTTTCCCTTCTCCCCTGCTAGGCGTCAACCCGGACGACACGTACAACGAGACCCCCTACGAGAAGGGGTTCTGCTTCGTCAGCTACCTGGCGCACCTCGTGGGGGACCAGGGCAAGTTCGACGCCTTCCTGCAGGTCGGTGGAGGGGCAGCACGGGGAGCTCGGCCCAAAAATGGGGTTGGGAGACACGAAATGCTGCGGGGGGAGGAAGGGCTGAGCCGGGTGGTGATGGCTGAGCGCAGCAGCAGACGGGCAGGGGGTGTTCAGGGACATGCTGGGGGATCCAGGGGTAGGCAGCGAGCGTGTGGCAGCCCACCCCGGCCATCCCCACAGGCCTACGTGGAGCGGTTCAAGTTCCAGAGCATCACAGCAGATGATGCCCTCAATTTCTTCCTGGAATACTTCCCCGAGCTGAAGAAGCAAGGCGTGGACTCGCGCCCAGGTCAGTGCGGGGCGGTGCGAGCTTCGTGTGCCACAACCGCCTCGCCTCACCCGTGGGGCTGCCGAGGTGCGAACCGAGCCCTGCCCAAGCGGGGCCCCCCCCAGCTCCTCCTCCCTGCCTCACCTCAGGCTTGGAGTTCGATCGCTGGCTCAACACACCGGGCTGGCCGCCCTTCCTGCCCGACCTCTCCCCGGGGCAGCAGCTGATGAAGCCGGCGGATGAGCTGGCGGAGCTGTGGGCGGCCGAGAGCTTGAACGTGGAGGCGATCGAAGCCGTGGACATCACGGGCTGGAAGACGTACCAGCTGGTCTACCTCCTGGACCAGCTCCTGCAGAAGTCGCCCCTACCCGAAGGTGAGGGCCTGGTGCCC